ACTTTGAAACGGATCACGAGTAAGTGGAAGACAAGGATGAGAGTGCGCAGAATCACCGCCAAAAAGGAAGACGCATGCTTCAACACAGGGTAGAGAACCATAGCTTCCTAGTCTTTCTTTCGTTTTGTGAGAGTTTAAGGTAAAACAGACTCATGATGCCTTTGACGATAGACGCTAGCTCGCATCAATCCAAGAAGCAGTGCATCATCTAATTTTGACTTTCTAATGTTTAAGAGAATCAGAACAAACAAAGCAAATCCATTTTTAGTGAAAGGTGGATTAAAAGTTCACGAATTTTCGATAGTTGAGCTATTACGTCTCCCGAATGCAGATGACTTGAAAAATCAACTCACGAAGCCTCACAGAAGGTAGAGCTTTGCCTCAATGATGAATTACTTCCTTCCATTCATTTTAGTTTGTCATGAGCCACGCTTTACAGCAAATACTATGTCAAGCGTTGTCTTTGTTATGAGCGCTTGGTGGCTTTAGAAGCTCTACTGCCTTGCCCTCTAATCTGTAGATAACGCTGAAGTTGTTGGACCAAAACATCGATCCAGGTCTGCGACAAGACCACGTGGTGAAAATTCGTCCGAACCCCATACCCAGCAACAATGCCTATCTCAAACGACCGTCTAGTGAGCGCAATCAGTGCTTTGGCTCGCCCCGGTTTCTAGAATTGGACTATCTGCATTCAAAAGACTTCGTGGTGGACAACACACTCTTCATCAAGGCCATCTTCGACATTGATGGGTAGAAAATGCAATTGAGCGGGGTTGAAAGTCACTCCAAAATGTTTTTAATTGTGGATAACTTAAAAGGCTCATTGACCTCTCTGTCGATTACTCTCTAACAGGGTTTCTTTCACTTCGATTTAAAGACATGCTGCTTCTAAGGCTGCTGGTTTATGATTTCCAGCATTGCTAACCCATTGTTAATGCTGATAAGTCAGTATGTGAGATGGCAGACCACTAACCATGGTGGTTTGAAGGCAAGATTAAGGTGCCTGTAATAAGACCGCGTAGGAGACTGTGGTGATGAGATTTGACACAAATCTCGGTTAAAAGTTCAAAATATCCCTGTTTAAGTTGTGGAAATGAAATGCGAAGGCTTTCGGTGATATTTAAGCTAAATGACTTCAAATGGTGCGCTTCATTTAATTTGAACTTATATACGATTAAGGGAAGTGGTAGCACTTACTGCAGTAGTTACATTTGGTTAGACTTCAAAAATGTTGGGATGAAGCTCAAAGGCTAATCATTACAATCTACCATTAGCAAATATAAGTTCAGCTTTCTCTAGCTACTTAAAGGAACATTAGTAGCACTTCATATTTTGTTTAAAAAGCATAATATTTTAAAATAAACTTTAGTGATATTTCAAAATTATAAGCCCTTGCGAGAGAAAATTATGAGAGTTCACCAAGTAGCATGAGCTACTTAGCGGCGTTTATACAGATGGACGAATGTAAACGCACTTCTCTGGGCGATATCCAACGATAATTAAACAGGCACTGAAA